AGTTGGAATTCCAACTCTGATGCTTAAAAATGACTTTTTTTTTTAAATTAGCATGAAAATTTAAGAGTAGCCTAATTTTCTCAATATGGGGGGAGGTGTGTGTTAATCGCGAGTTTGAGGAAACAGATGACGCTGGGATGGCATGGATTTAGGTGATAGGAACCAACCTCGAACCCCCCTCCCCCAATTTTGCAGTTAGGAACTAGAAAGCGAAAATATTTGCACAAAAATAATTTGTACAATGTGGATGTAGACTTGCATAAGCCCAAGTCTCGTGCAGGGCTGCACAAAACAGTGTACCCTGAGCCTGGCTTTCATGCACTCAGTTTGCATGAGCAGGTGCACTGATAAACTTCTTTTGAGATTAAAAATTAAGCATGTAAAAAACAAAGAGATATTCCAAATACAATTATAAAGAATGCAAATCTCTCCCACTGAATCTTATTCACTGTGCAATTGATAGGATATGGATACTTAGTCATAAGTGACCGAGATGCACTGCATGCTGCAACACCAGTTCTGTACTTGGTTAATGTATCACAGTAAGTTTAAGCACACAGTCAATCATCCACTGTTTCTAGCCTACTCCACCACAAAATTAATTTCATGGAAATCCAACACCATCACTGGCAAGTGTTATGGCTCCAGTGTCCTACATGTGGTCCTGTGTGGGTGTGTTTTTTTGCAGGTCCTGGGAGGGGTGGAACCGAGGTGCCAACAAGTGGTACCTGGGAACACCTAGCCAGCATCCCTGGAGCCTGTTTAAGGCCGCCTGCCCTGAGACTATGCCCTTTTTGTCTTCTTCCTGAAGACCCAGCTTGTTTGTTTTATTTGGCATTACACTTTCATTTTCTGTTTTCCTCAAATAATACGCACCTCATGCAGGTCACTGCAGCCATACGCCTCCCAACATCACTGACACTGACGTCCACTCCTCATTGCATTCATATTTTTGATACTTATGTTAATAAATTAGTTTATTATCGTTTATTTTGGCATGTGTCTCCCTCTGTTTGTTGTGGCCCATGAGTTGGCCATGACAAAATGGGGGCTCGTCCAGCGCCAGGTCCTCTCGCACCCAAAGCAAGAATCATACCCATAGACCTTAAACTTCAACATTCAAAAAAAATAAACATTAACAATGCATTAGTGAAATACTTAATCAAATTCCTCAATGAAGAAAAAAAAAACGTACTCGCTGCGAATGAATGGCTGCGAGGGGCTGGCGACCGCAGAGGACGACATCTCGGCGAAGCCACTGTCCTGAGAATATGGCTCGGATTTGATGGTCCTCTGTGTGTCATAGGGCTCATACAACTCTGGCGACTTCATTTCGGTCACTGGGTGAAGAACAGAGACACAGAGGAGCTGGGCACGATGCTCAACACAAAACGCTCCGGAGAATTCCTCGAAAGTACGTTTAAGTGGGTTTCTCACAGACTACTTCCGGAGGACAGGGGCACAGTGAAGTTGTGGCTAGTAGTGCTACACATGGATGAAAACACTCCTGTTCGTACACTGCTCCTTTCAGACTGTCATGTCTGTAGTGATCATCATGACCCAAATGACTACTTCCAGTTGACTGTAGAGGGAATTCTACACCAAGGTGCTTTTTTCTAAAGAAAAATGCTGTTCCAAGAGATGACAGACCTGCTGCAGACAGAGTGGAGGTAACATTACTACCTAAAGTCATTGTGTTGACCTAAGAGGTATACATATATAAGGCTTCCCCTGCTGTCATTTTTGAGGCTTGCTGAGCTATTTTAAGCCTAAAGCCAGGGTTTTCAATGTCATGAAAGTGGCTCTCTTTTTCACAGCCATGGAAACTAATGATACCTCTGATTGTGAGTTTACAGTATGTCGAACCTGCTGTCGTTAAGACAGCCTACTCATGTCGAACTCTCTGCAGCGCTGTTAATGTCACTTTATTAGTTTGAGCCAGATCTGATGGACAGAGGTAAAAACTGTGCATGTACAAAGATGGTGAAACTAAATTTGTGGTCCACAGAACTGAAGTCTTTGTTTAACTTTTTGAAGTATGGAGTAGTAACTCAAGCTTGACACAGAGCAAGTCCAGTTATACTCAAGAAAAGTGGTAGTCCCTTCAGTCGCGAAATATGGCACTCTACTGCATTTACATACTTCTTTTACCGCACGTGGACAACCAGTTGAAGTATTTAATCACTTTACTTTTTTTTTTTTCATGATTAAGTGAATTATCACCAGTTTTATCTTGTGCAAATAACTTCAAATAGCACATCGTGGGGGCATGAAAAGCCAGAGGTGAAAAAGAATCTATTAATTCCTGAGATAGCAGTAAAGACTGGAGTTAGTAAAAAGCCACAATGGTAAGATAACCAGGTAAATGAATTATATAGACTTTCCAGCAATTGGTGTAAAATAAAGCCAGTTTGGGACTAAATGGATCCAATAATAAAGTAAAAGCAACTAAGAGGTAGTAGTTTTAGAACAAGCTCAGTGGTTATGGAAGAAAGGTATTATGGTAATTTAACTGAATTTGGTTTTAGATTTTTTTTTTTTGTACAGCCAATGTCTTTTTTACACCATCTCTGACTGCTTAAAAAATTGCAGGTGTGCTAATACTTTTAAATGGCTCTGTATGTGACAGAAATATGAGACATCCAATCAAAACTCACCTTGCGTGTGCGAGGGCGGGTCCAACACATCATCTCTGGGGACAGATGAGAGCATGACTGGTTGCAGTGGCATATGTGGGGGTACAAGATAGGGCAGGGGCTGCATCATGACCCCTGACAGTAGGGGTATTACACCAGGAGCGGAGCCCTGCAGAAAGGGGGCCAAGAACTGCAGGGAGAGGCCAGAAGATGCCTGGCTGTGGGGGGAGCCGCCGCGCTGCCAATGTGCCCCCGAGTCGCGCTGGTGGAATCCACTGTAGGGCGAGCCTGGGCGAGGACTGTGGGAGGAATAGGGAGGTGAGCCCCGCTTGCTGACGGACAAGTCCAGGGGGTCCATCTGGGCGGGGTCGTGCACTGTGCCAGAGCTGGGCTGCAGATGGTGGAAATGGTCACTGTTTCCAGGAAGAGGAGGGAAGAGCATGCTGTATGCCTCGATCTGCCCACTGTCTCCGCTTCAGTATCTGTATAATGATATATGAATAAAGGAAGGGATGGACTGAGGGGAAAAGAGGGATAGAGAGGGAAGAGATAGTTAGAGAGAGATAGGGATAAAGTGAGGCAGTGATTAATAAATAGAACACTCTCGTTTAAGTATTGTCTCATATTGGAATTCTTTTAGCACTCAAATGAAATTGTGACAGACAGGGGACCCAGGACTAAGGCACAAACTTAAAATCAGTGTCACAGGCTTTATTAAAGGATTAAGTAAAGTCATACTGTCCAGTTTGCAGCGAATCAGTTGGAATGCAGCACAGATACAAATATCACACAGTCGATAATCAGGTCGAGCAGTGGTGCCCAATTATATGCCATCGAGGGCCGAGAGTATGCAGGTTTTCCTTCAAACTAATTATTACACCTGCTGATTACACCAATTGGTTCCCTCCTCTCTACCTGAGGGTGTGTCAGTAAGCTAAATCAGCAGGTGCAGTGATTGGCTGGTTTGAAAACCTGCACACACTCGGCTCTCCATGGCACACCATTGGACACCACTGAGGTAGAGGGTCAAAAGCCAAACAGTAGGAATGCCTTGCAAGGAGAGACAGAATCATAAGCCAGAGACAGTCTGAATCGATAACAAGAAATCTATCAAACACAAAGGGCCAGGAAAACTCAAAAAATGTGAGACAAAAGGAAATTAGAACCGAGTGATCACACTAGGAGACGGAAGGCTGGTAATACACAGAGACAGACTCAACAATACAATTGAGAAAAGAGGGAATTTAAATAGCAAACAAATAACGGGAAACAAACTCCGAGCAGGTGCAGGGAGAGCCCGTGGTTATGAATGATATAATAAAAAAACTAATTAACAAACAGAATGGGGAGGACTGGCAGGGAGTGTGAACAGAAACAAAGACACGTGGAACTCAACACAGGAACTGAAATAATAACAAAGGAGAATGAAATAGCCTACAAAAAAAAAAAAAAAAAAAAAAATAAAACTATAAAATAGACAGACTTACTGAACACTGACAAATTCTTAAGGCAGCCCTGGAAAGTTTAGTGGCAAACTACACCTATCAACCACTCCATTGTGCAGATATATATATATATATATATATAGCTTAATATTGTGCAGATCCCCCGAGTGCTGCCCAAAGTCTGACCTGTCAAGGCATGAACTCTACAAGATCTCTGAAGGTGTCCTGTGGTATACGACACCACTGTTTAAGCCCTGTAAGTTGCCAGGTGGGGGTTCCGTGAATCGGACTTGTTTTTCCGGCACATCCCACAAATGCTTGATCGGATTAAAGGCCAAGGGCATAACTCAAGCTGAAAGAGGCCACTGCCATCTGGGAATAACACTGCCATGAAGCGGTGGAATACAAGAATGTTTAGGTAGATGGTATGTGCTAAAACAACATCCACATGAATGCCAGGACCCAATGATTCCCAGCAGAACATTGCCCAGAATTGTGACTTGGTTAAAATATGCGGAAGCCACGGTATCAAGTTCAACCACTTTCTTAGGAGGCACATCCTCAGAGCTCACCACAGGGCACCAGACTCAGGGTTCTTTCACTGTAACTGTAATTACAATAAAACATATAGGGTTGCTGGAAGGAAGTTAAATTTGTCCCATTGGGGGCTTCTGGCCTCTAATCAAGCCATGACCTTGTTTTGCAAGGCCTCTGTAGGCGAACACAACAGCGTATTAGAATAACAGGAAGCTGTGCCTGCTATAAACAGAAATGGCAGAAAATTCTCTGAAGAGGGTATTAGAAACATTTTTGCCGCTGTTGCTTTCTGAGTAGTAAGATAACATCCTTCGTACGCTCAGCTGACACACTTCCACATATGGGCAATTTAAGTCTCAACGACATGCAACCCTGAACAGAAAGGCTCAGGTCGGATTCAAACCTACAACCTGCTTGCTGTGAGGCAGTAGTGCTCCTGCTGCACCACCACGCCACCAGTTTTAGAGACCAACATAACGTACAGGACACTAATGCTCAGATTTACTGTACACACATTGTTTGGCATTAATGAGAGAAATTGTACTCAGTTTTGTATTGAAATTCAATTTCAATTGTCGTGAAATCACCCCCCATTTTTCTTCATTTGGATCACTAACTACCATAATATTTAATTTTATTATTATGAACAGCTGTGCATTACATACCCCTTTCATTAACTCCTGTGAAAATGTAATGAACTAGTCCTTTATTCAGAATGTATTCAGAATGTTTTTCATTAGAATATAAAGATATAACATTGTCACTGGCTGCTTAAGTCGTAGTATTTCAGACTTTTTGAGAGCAAACATGTATAAGGGAATGAGAACGTTTCCCACAGATCTCATAGAGGTCTAAAATGCTCAATGAAAAGCTCAACAGGAACCCAAGACTCTGAGCGAGTGAATAGCAGAGGGCTACATGCAGTGGAGAAGCGCTGACAACAAATGCAAAAACAAAAACCAAAGAAAATTCTGATAAGGATCAGAACTGTTGAAAGCCTCCGCAGCATGACAGAACAAGCTGCTTGAAGTACTGCAGTTTCAAAAATGACTCGGGGAACAATTCAGAAACAAAGCAAGCTATAGTGCTGTGAAAAAAAGCACTTTATCCCTTTCCAATTTCTTATATTTTTGAATATTTGTCACAGTAAATAATGTCAGATCTGCAAATTCAATATATAACAAAGACCATCTGAGTAAACGAATAGTTTTTGAATGATCATATCATTAATTGAAGGGAAAAGGCCCACCACCAACTGACACTGCATCAAAAAGTTTCAAAAATCTAAACTGGGTTGAGTCAAATTTGACTAGATACCCAGGTTTGATTACTGCCATCCCTGCCAGCCGACACATGACCTACATAAAACCTCTTTTGCAATGTGAAGAGGTTAAAAGGTCTCAACAAGCAGCACACTCTGTAATTTATCCAAAAAAAGAGATGAATATGCAAGTTATTGAATTGTATCAGTCTGAAAAAGGTAAAAAGCAATTTCTTAGGTGCTAAGACACCAGGAACCCGCAGTCAATCTCCAGAGTAAGCTTAGAATGCTTGGTAATCTTACCAGGAGAGCTAAAAAAGTTTCAGGAGCTCATCAACAAGTCATCCAGGGGAAAAAAAAAAAATTATGATGAACATCTGAGGAATTGCAGGCCTTGCTTGCCTCATATAACCATCAGATATCATCAGCATTCATTGTTTCACGAGTTGAAAAACAGAGGGCAAAAAATGTATCTATGGGAGTCGAGAGCTGCAAGGCAAAAACCACCACTCGAGGAGCATAAAGGCACATTTCACATTTGCAAAAAAGGAATTAGAAGCCTTTTTGAAGAATGTTCAGTAGACTGATCAGTCGTAAGTGAAACTTCATGAAGGTCTTGCTACATCAGTTGTAATGCTTGCATAACAATCCGCAAAATGAATGTCTCACACACACATACATGGTGGCAGTTGGGTGCAGGAGAGAGGATGCTTTGCTGCTTTAGGGCGGGGGCAGTTTGTCCTTAACTGATGGAATCATAAATGATGCTTTCTACCCGAAAATACGGGTGAAGAATGACTGGTCATCAATCCATGAAGTAAAGCTCAAACACAATTCGGTGATGTGGCAAGGCAACAATCCAGAGCTCCAGAGCATGTCCCTCTTCGACTGGCTCCAAAAAATAAATAAATAAATTAACAAATAAGTAAAAAGAGTCTCCTGCTAACATGCCATGCCACTCAAAGGCCAGAGAAGAATCAAAGTGACACTATCGTTAACTCCTGGATAAGCTGTTCGTAAATTAGGGACCAGTCATTAATGCCAGGATCATATCCATCTTACCACCTGTGGTCGTGCTAACGACAAATTGCTTGATTCATTAATTAGTGAGTGACGCTTGAGTCTCATCACATCATTCCTTCCTATGCTTCGCACATCCAGGAGTAAAAACTGGCCAATTAATGGGTTCCCCTGCCTAGACTCAGTCATGTCAAAAGCTTCCTGGAAATGATTGACTTCACACAGTGCAATGTTATGGGCTCAGGCAAATGGGAGACATTCCAGCACTGACCCGTCCCAGTAATTACCTGGAATTCCAAAAGAGCCACCATCAGGATGTAACATGAGCCGCCACGTACTATGCAGGTGCTGAGTGAAGCAGTACAGCCGCCAGCTCTGCCCTCTCTGGGCAAGGATTGTGGGCTAATACCCTGGCACCACCCCATCTACCACACAGTACAAGACTCAGGGCATTAGTGCCATGGATAATCTGCTTTTGAGTCACACGTTGTGAACGGCAGCCATTTGCCAAACAAAATTATAACGCAGTCTCATTTGCCAACTGTATGTGGTTTCCTTTGTCAAATGGCTGAAGTTCAACTGGCTGCTCGGCCAGCTGTGGGAATTATTGCACAGCAGAGAATTTTGTTTCAAGCGGTGCACAAATATTCAAAAATAAATATACAAGTCTCCAATTATTTTTTGTGAATATAGAACCTACCCAACTCAAATAGAAGGAGTAGCGACTATATATCTCATCCCAATGAAATTTGACTTCCTCAGCTTATTTTACAAATCATACCCTCACATAACCATAAGCAATACAATTCTCTGCTTTCCACCTGGTTGTTCACCATGGTAATGAGAGATTATCTCTGCAGCCTTTATACCTTAAAATCTTTTCCCCAATTTGTGCTGTAAGAATAAATTTGAAGAGCACAATGGAAAAATGATCAGAGTCACATTTTCACATTGTGGAGAAATTATGAATTAAAAATTCAAAACAATCTTAGAAACAAAGCACTGAAAAAATATGCAAAAATATTAAATATATAAAATATTAAAATAATATATGATATTATTATATATCATTATAAATATTATTATAATATATAATATATAAAATATACAAAAATGCAAAATTTGGACTGATCGTTTTTCCTTTGCGGTCTTCATTTGATTAAAGCTCTAGATGGGGGTTCAACTGCAAATCACTTTAGATGAAGGGTTTAGGCCACAAAGTGTCAGCTGCATAAATTTAATCTGAAAGTACAGAGAAAAAATCCAGTAAAGTAGAAATGCCAAGGTTTACCAGTCATTATTGCAGTAGAAACAACTTAGGAACAACCTTGTGACCTTGGCATATATACATAAGTGAAATCACAGTGGCACTGGGTGTTTCACAGTAATTCTGAATCCAAATGTTATGGACTCAAATAGGCTGGTGGATTTGGCGCACTCAGACTTACTGTAACGTACTGTACTGTTGACTGAACTGCTCTGCGCCATTCACTGAAGTCTACAAGACTGCAGGGCAGCAAGCTTAAATGTGCAAATGAGACTGGACTGTTGGCCTTATTTGCCGCTGTGGTTACAGACACAACAAAACTAAATCAGTGCGTGGAAAGGAGTAAACATTCATGATTTGTGCATTGCATACACTGAAATAGCTTATATGGTCACTTTCCCACCACACTTCAATTAATAGTTTCCCTTTTTATCGCCCAGCGTAATGATGCGGGGGGATGTAGTCATCAGTGCGGTCGTCTGTCCATCCGTCCGTCTGTCTGTGGTCATTTAGTTTCCGGAGCAGAACTCGAATACCGTTCAATATTTTTTAAAGAAACTATTACATATATTAAGTGAATTAATATATAACATATTAATCAGGTCCTAGGCTGGTGCCTTCTGATTTTTTGGGATTTCTGAGATTAGATCGCAGGGGCCGGGGGGATATATCATCTTCTGATGACGGACTCTTTGGAGGTCTGTGAAAAGTCTGCTGGAGCCCCTTATGTACTGAAAGAATTGTGGGGTTGAAGAGCCCTCAACCCTTGCAGACTTCCCGCAAGTTTGCAAAGCGGTGAAGTCTGGATATTTGAATTAAGCTGAGGAGAATTCTCTGATTAAAATCTAACATCTCCACCTTTACTCTAGTTCCCTCTCACAAATGACAAACCAGTGTCGTACAGAAGATTACTCACAAACCAGTGCACTGCATATGCGTAAAGTCCCGTGCAACTGTACCTGCTCTTTCAGCAATTTGCAATATTCACTTCCTCTAAACGCAGTAGCTCTTTGTAGGCCCCTTATTTTGACTTAGTGAACAGAGTCAAACTGAAGTCCGCTGTGTTTGAACTCATAACTGGACAATGTTCATTTGATTTAATAATTAACACAGAATATGGTGCCTTATAGATAACACCATCAGTACATAAGCATGCAAGCATACAAACACCTGAAAAAAGATAAGGGACCATGCCTGGGATGAACGAAAGCATGCCAACTGCGAGCACTTTAACACCAATGGTGTGAGAGATGCTTTTTCTTCAGAAGAGATTAGAAAAGTTTGTCCATAAAACAAAGACACTACAAGTAAGTAATCTTAATTACTGTGGGTCCATCTGGCTGTCAGTTGGATATTAGGGAACTACAAAATCCTGATAAATCTAGCCTAATGTCACAGACACTGTAAACCCCACAGCAGTACTCTTTATAGCATTTTAGGAACACATGACTAGTCTCTATTGAAATAACATGAAAATAAAGCTGTCCCAATGAAACTGAGCATTGCCAATGAAAGAACAATATATAAAATTGTTGAGCTAGAGAAAGTCTCGGTGCATATCCGGTAATGGACCCTCCATCGGTGTGAGGTTTTTTCAAACTGCACTAGCAACTACTAAAATACACGACAGAGTGAATAACATTGCAAGACTGCGTAGTTTTCAATTTCAATATTTCATGACTAATTTCAAGATAAAAATGTACAATGATACAAGATGATTTAGTATGTATAGAAAGCATTAATTCTACTTTTGAGGCTTGGCTATGAGCATAGAATGTTGGGGGCTCCTGAGCATTGAGGTGTCAAGCAGATTGGCGAAGAGACAGATCGGGTAAAATCAAGCCCTGGGCTGAGGGGAAGACACAGAGTTTCCACCACCACCCAGAAAGAAGGAGTAAGTGAGGCA